CTCAAACACCAGCCATCACATCTGCATCCTAAATAGAGAGCCTTTCAGTCATTGGAAAGGAGAAAGGACTCAAGAAGGAAGGAACGTTCCTTTAAAGACCCTTTCTGGAGGTCACGTATAATTCTTTTACTTATATTCCATTGGCTAGAACTTGATTACATGGCTACACTAAGCTATAAGAGAGGCTGAGAAATATGGTGTGTGTTCTAGGATTCATGTGTCCAGATGAAAATTGGAGTTGTCTTTCAAAGGAAGAAGTGGAGCCTGGATATGGGAGGACAACCATTAGCCTCTGTCAAATTCGGGAATTCCACTTTTAGGACTGTGTCCTACAGGTACATTCACCCATGTACTATATGACACATCTATAAGGTTATTCACTGCAGCATTGTTTGTGACAGCAAAAGACTGGAAGCAACCTCAGCAGGGGACTGGTTAAACAAATGATGGGACATCTGTACAGTGGAGCACTTACACAGCTGTAAACACAAATGAGGAAGGTCGCTATGCGCTGATATGAAATGGTATTTCAGAAATTCCACTTTGGAAAAACAGTTTGGCAGTTTCTTATAAAGTTAACTATATACCTACCCTATGACCCAGGAACTTCACCCCTAGGTTTTTGCCCCCAAATAAATAAGAATAGATGTCCCCACAAGGACTTCACACAAATGTTCATAACAGTTTAATTCGCAATAGACAATAACTGGAAACAGCTCCATGTCCACCAACCAGTGAATGGATAATAAGCAGGTGAATCTATATCGTGGATGACTATACTGCAGTATAAACAAGTGAACTAAGGATACATGTAGCAACATGGAAGAATCTCAAAATGTGCTGAGCGAAAACAAGCTGTAATGATGTCATTGATATGAAATTTGAGAACAGGTGAAACTAATCAACCTATGGGGCTAGAAACCAGATCAGTGGCTCCTTCTAGGGGTGGGGGGATTGCTCAGGAAAGGGCATGAAAGATCTGCTTGGGGTGGTGGAAATGTTTTGCTTCATGATTGAGTATTGGTTACACAGATGCATTTCACTGTATGCAAATTATACCTCAATCTTCTTAGAAAG